ACTATCTCCTTATGTTGGTAACCAGTATTCTTTTATCCCCCCCTGCAAAGTAGAGTATTGGCTTTTTCTTGTCTCCTAATAATTTCCTAACACCCTTAATTTATGTTTTGTTGTTTTGGGATTTTTGAGTCAGAGTCTCACTGTTACCCCAGGCTGGAATGCAGTGGCACGCTCATGGCCACCCCAGCGTCAACTCACTGGGCTCAGGAGATCCTTCTAACTCAGCCTTCCAAGTAGCTGGAACTACAGGCACAGGCTATTATGCCCAGCTCATTTTTTTATATATTGTAGAGATGAGGTCTCACCAAGTTGCCCAGGTTGGTCTCAAACCCAGCCTAGGCAACATTGTGAGACATTGTCTCTATAACAAAAATTAGCCAGGCATAATGTTGTATGCCTTTAGTCCCAGCTACTTTGGAGGCCAAGGCAGTAGGATCACCTGACCTCAGGAAATCGAGGCTGCAGTGAGTCATGATCATGCCACTGCACGCCAACTTGGACAACAGAATGAGACTTTGACTCAAAAGCAAGCAAAAAAAATTGTTATTATGACATGAAGACCACATTAAAATTGACAAATACTACGAAAAATTAAATGATGTAATCATTAAAGTATGTATTTTGATTTTTAGTGCTAAAACCTTCCTTAGACGATGTGTTACTTTTTCTTTTTCTTTTTTTTTTTGAGTTAGAGTCTCACCCTGTAAGCCAGGCTGGAGTGCAGTGGCAAGTTCACAGCCACAACATCCTTGACCTGCTGGGCTCAGGCAATACTTCCGCCTCAGCCTCCCAAGTAGCTGGAACCACAGGCATGTGCCACCAAGCCCGGCTAATTTTTTGATTTACTGTAGAGATGAGGTATCACCAAGTTGCCCAGACTGGTTTCGAACCTCTGAACTCAGGCAATCCTCTTCCCTCAGCCTCCCAGTGCTGGGATTTCAGGCTTGAGCCACCATGCCAGGTTGCTCTTTCCACTCTTAACCAACACTTAACCAAGCTATCTGTGGAGTTCAAGCAGGGGTTGCCACAGCTTTTGCCTTTGGCACTTCTAAGATTCAGAGCCACTCCCAAAGGCCTTTATTTTCAGTCCCTTTGAACTCATGTATTTAAGGCTTCTCCAGTCTGGGATGTCTAGAGTCTCCTCCTTTGGGAAATTCTCTCTCAGTCCTAGAACTGGCCAGAAAGTATGTATGTATGTATGTGTGTATGTATTTATTTAGTTGGAGTCTCACACCATAGTCCAGTCTGGGCAACTTGGTGAGATCTTGTCTTTACGATAAATCACACAAACTAGCTGGGTGTGGTGGTGTGCATCTGTAGATCCAGCTACTTGGAAGGCTGAGGCAGAAAGATTGCCTGAGCCCAGCAGGTAGAGTGTGAGTGTGCCACTGCACTCTAGCCTGGGCGACAGAGTGAAACTCCAACTCAGGAAAAAAAAAAAGGGCACCAAATCTCCTATGTCAAAGAACAGCACTTAATGGATGTAAATGTCTCACCCTCAAAGAGCACAGAATAATTTCCCCTCTGGGGGTGAGGGCTGCACATAGCACTTTATTTCCAAAGAGCCCAGAATGGAAAAGGGGGAAATGACTAACTCTGCAGTGGAGAACCTTGGTAGATACCGCTCCAAACAGGCAATCAAGGTTAGCATTAATAGCCTAAATTGGCCAGGCTCAGTGGCTCTGCCTGTAATCCCAGCACTTTGGGAGGCCGAGGTGAGTGGATCGATTGCCTGAGCCCGCAGGTTCGAGACCCGCCTGGGCAACTTGACGAAACCTCATCTCTACAATAAATCAAAAATTAGCCGGGCGTGGTAGCGCGTGCCTGTAGTTCCAGCTACTTGGAAGGCTGAGGTGGAAGGATTGCTGGAGCCCAGCAGGTCGAGGCTGCGTGGCTGGGAGCGGCCATTGCATTCCAGTCTGGGTGACAGAGTGAGACTCCAACTCAAAAAAAAAAAAAAAATAGCCTAAATTATGTCAATAACCACACTTTATAAGATGTAGTAAAAATTTTTTTTTTTGAGTTGCTGTGTCACATGCATGGCCACTGCAGCCTCAACCAACTGGGCTCAGGTGATCCTTCTGCCTCAGCCTGCCAAGAAGCTGGAAATACAGGCACGTGCCACCACTCCTGGCTAATTTTTTATTTTATTGTAGAGATGAGGCCTCACCAAGTTGCCCAGGCTGGTCTCGAAACCATGGGCTCAAGCAATCCTCTCACCTCGACCTCCCAAAGTGCTGGGATTTTATAGGCATGAGCCACTGCACCTGGCCTGATGTAGTGAATTTTACCAGTGATCTTCCTCTCAAACACTCATAGCAGTAGCTGTCTTTGTAATTAGATTATATAATGCTTTATTTGAAGAAATCCCCATCAGATATAGAACTTCTACCCCAAACCAATCCCTAGTGAACCAATCCCTAGTAGTTTACAATGTGTCAGTTTAGTAAATCCAGCATCAGTCTGGGCCACAAGAGTGAGACTACAACTAAAAAAAAAAAAAAATTACGCTGACCAGCACCTCCCTGTCCCTTGCGAAGGCCTGCCTCCAGAAACTCAGTTACAATCAGGAGACTGAGGACGTCTCAATGACCTACTTGGCCAGACTAAGCGCCTCCAGCCACCATGGAAGGCACCCTTTCAAGTATTATTAACCACCCTCACGGCAGCCAAGCTTTTGGAATTCCTTTCCTGGATCCAACTATCCAGACATCTCTGCTGCCCTCAGAAACTTCTGCTCTGGAATTCCACACCAAAGTTATATACTTCGGGGCAACTAGGTGACATCAAATATCCTTTAAAAAGATAAAGTCAAGACTGAGTGCGGTGGCTCAGCCAGTAATACCAGCACTTTGGGAGACCTAGGTGAGTGGACTGCCTGAGCCCACAGGTTCGAGGCCAGTCTGGGCAACTTGGTGAGCCCTCATGTCTACAATAAATCACAAAAAAACTAGCCAGACGTGGTGGTGTGCACCTGTAGCTACTTGGAAGGTTGAGGCGGAAGGATCACCGAAGCCCAGCAGGTTGACGCTGGGATGGCTGTGAACATGCGTGCCACTGTACTCCAGCCTGGGTGATGGAATGAGACTCCAACTCAAAAAAAAAAAAAAAAAAAAAAAGATAAACTCAAAAGATGTTTTCACAGCAAACTCTGTTGTCTTTTAAAAAATTATTTTATTAGCCAGGCTCAGTGGCTCAGCCTGTAATCCCGTGCTTCGGGAGGCTGAGGTGAGTGGATTGCCTGAGTCCGCGGGTTCGAGACCCACCTGGGCAACTTGGCGAGACCTCATCTCTACAATAAATAAAAAAATTAGCCGGGTGGAGCGGGCACCTGTAGTTCCAGCTACTTGGAAGGCTGAGGCAGAAGGATCACCGAAGCCCAGGAGGTCGAGGCTGTGGTGGCCAGGAGCAGCCACTGCACCCCAGTCTGGGCGACAAGAGTGAGACTCCAACTCAAAAAAAAAAAATTATTTTATAGATGTGGGGTATAATTCAGGTTTAAGTAAACAAATGTTCATTATGCGGGTAACCTTGTTGATGAGGTATGCTCCCCTCCCTGCCAGTTTCCCACTACTGCGAATCCTGCCTCCCCACTCCCCTGGCAGATTCCACTACCAATCACTTTCTTATAACTATTCAAGGTCCACTTATGAGTGAGAACATGTGGTACTCAGTTTGTTTCTGATAGATCACTCAGTATTACAGACTCTAAGTCCATCCAAGTTGCTATGACGTTCATAATTTTGTCCTTCTTTATGACCGTGTAATACTCCATTGTGGACATGTGCCACATTTTTTTATCCAGTCCTCTTTTGGTTTTTTTTCTGAGTTGGAGTCTCACTCTGTCGCCCTGACTGGAGTGCAGTGGCCGCTCCCAGCCACCGCAACCTCGACCTGCTGGGTTCCGGTGATCCTTCCACCTCAGCCTTCCAAGTAGCTGCAACTACAGGCGCACGCCACCACACCCGGCTAATTTTTTAAAATTTATTGTAGAGATGAAGTCTCCCCAAGTTGCCCAGACGGGTCTCGAACCCGTGGGCCCAGGCCCAGTACTCTTGATGAGCAGCACACTTGGTTCCATGTTTTTGCTATTTTGAATAATGATGCAATAAGCATGCATGTGCAGGTATCTTTTTCATAAAGTGACTTGAGTTTTCCTGGGTATATTTCTAGTAGGGGGACTGTGGGGTTGTAATGAAGGTAGATTTTTAGATCTTTTAGGAATCACCAAACTGTTTTCCACAGAGGTGGTACTAGTTTACTCTCCCACCAACAGTGTATAACTGTTCCCTTTTCCCCACATCCTCTCCAGCATCTGCGTTTGGAAGACCTGGTGCCAAGATTTTCACAAAGGGGAGCCCAGAAAAGATTCCAAACAGGGAAAAAGTAGCCTCCTTGGGCACACTTTGAGATCTTCTAGCAATGAAGGGGAGGGGGGGTGCAGCACGTGGACTCACCAGGGAAGTAGATTTGTACCAGATAAAGCTGAGGTGATAAGAAGAGGTCTGTTAAATGTAGCTCATCACAGGTGATGAAGGGAAAGAGCAAACGGCAGAGGAAAAGAGCCAAGCACGTGTCACCTCTTACCCTATCAGGTGATGGCAATCCAAGACCTTCCTTTGGAGGCCTTCTTGTCTTTTCATGAAGTGGCCCCAGTGAAAAGGCCATCAGTAGCCTTCCAAGATGTAGTCCAGTCCACAAAGAAACTCAGAGAATTAGGCTTGCAGTAGGAGGTAGAGGACAGACCTTTGTCTCCCACCCAAAAGAGGCCTAACATACTGACACCATTCCTTGGTGCCTTCAAATTTGCTGGAGAACAGCCCAGACCAAAGCCATCAATTGCCACCAAGACCCAACACAGTCCACAAAAAGGCTCAGATTGGAAGAGAGAGAAAAAGCACAAAGGAAACTCCATGAGAAGTAGAGCCCCCATATGGGCCACCAAAATATTAGGACTGTGAGGATGGCCGGTTGCACAGCAATAAAACGAACTGCAGAGACAAAGTAAAAAAATTTATTACACTTTTCAGGGAGAGGGTCTGGAAAGGGAGCAGCACTACAGGAGTATGGAGTAAGGTTTGAGGAGAGCATGTATTTAAGGTTTCTATAAGAAAGTGTGACTAGTGAGAAAAATCTCCAGCTACTGCATTCTCCAGCTTGGATAACACAGGTCTGGTGCCTGGAAGTCAGAGGGTGACACATTTTACAACTCCAGGTGATGGCCTTGCAGTTTGTTAGGGAGGCTGATCTCATTCGATTAGGTCATCCTGGTTCTTTATGGCTGAAAGACAAACGGGGAGAAGAAAAGGTAAACAGTGCAAAGCACACTTGAGAAGCAGGATGTAAATCATCAACGGTTATCACTGGGAAAACGGTCTTGCCCTTGGCTAATGACTATAGGATAAATTAAAGCGAAAAACTAGAAAAATATGACAAAGCTAACCAATGTCAAAATGGCTGCTCTTTGGTTGTATCAACTCCATTTTGGTCTCTTGTCTTTTCACTAAGTCAAATACAAATGATTTGAGGACTATCAAGGTGAAATATCAATAAATTAAACATATTACTGAGTCCACAAAATACTTGAGAGTATTCTCCAGCTCTCACCTGGAGTTCTGGGACAGAAAGCAAAGATCCCTCAGAAGCTGATGACATTTCATCTTCCTCATCTTGGGTGAAGTCATCCAAGGACTCTTCCTCTTCCTTTGGGCCATGTTTCTCTCGTCCACACTTTCGAGCCCTGTCAGGGCCCCCACTGACTGGCCATCCAAACTGGATGAGTCTTCAGGCTTCCCTGGGGAGCTACTAAGCACCATTTCAGGGTCCGTGGAGGATGAGGCATTCCTTGGCAATCCTTTGCTCATATCTGCTCCTGCATTTGCTTCATTAGGAGGCTCCTGAGAAGCTGAGGGGGCTCTGGCTGGCTGACTCCTCTCCTCTTCCTTTAGTAAGACTGTCTGTTTCTTTCTCTCTCTAGCACTGCTCAACTCCTCACTTGGGGAGCCAGTGTCCAGTTCCACAGAGTGCTCTTCTTTCACTTCATCACAAATATCCTGCTCAGGAGATACACTGATTTCCTCCCGAGTATCTTCAGATTCCATCTTGACAATTTCCTTTAATTTCCCAGGGGCGGAGTTGAGAGATTCCTGGAAGTCATGAGGCAGTGGCTCCACAGCTTGCCTTCCCTCCTCTGTTTTCACAACAGTCCAGCGATAGGCACTGTTCTCTGAAAATACTTCTTGGCACTCTTCATCTGTTGGGAGAGGCACTGGGCTAGGTTCCACTTTGGGAAAACCAGTATCACAAAGAGGAGGTAGTTCTTGGGGTTCTAATTTGGGTTCTAGGCCCTGAATGGCATTTTTCCCTTCAGCCAAAGGACAATTAATTTCCACATTCACCTGGGCCTTATCTTCAAGGGTGGCTGGTATAGAGAGATTGAGAGAGTTACCAGAAACAATGAAGGGTGAGATGGAGGAGGCCACAAGGGGCTGGTTCAGTGGACTGGGGAAAGAAGTAGGGTTAACCAAGAGGGCAGTGATGGGAATAGTCTGGGGGCTCTGGGCCACAGTTGCACTGACAGGCTGGATCACATTACAGCTACTGCTGAGGTTCAAAATCTTCACAGTGGTGGCAGGAACAGAGAAGATAACAGGTGCGGGGTGAATAAGGGGGGCAAGTTTCATACAGGGAGAAGCCTTGGACCCCTTTCTCTTTGCCATCCTCCGTCTCACACATGGCTTTTGAAACTTAGAAGGGGCAAGGGAGGGCAGCATTACCTTGGGCAAAGGAGTGGAAGAAAGCGAGGTCTGGGACTCAGATGTAGGGAAGACGGTTGTTGTCTAAGAAGGGATAGCAGGCAGTGCTACAGGAGACTCAAAATTATCACTCCCATTAACCCCCAGTGGAGGAACACCTGGAACTGACTGTAGAACAGTAGCTGGCTTGATCAAGTGAAGAATTCAGACTACCATTTTGCTTGGAGGGGCTTTTGACTGAGTTGACACGGCTGACATTTTCCCGGGGTTGAAGCTAGGCTGCAAAGAGGAGCTGGGTCGAATAAGAAGGGGCTTCAGGACTGATGATCGCTTTTGTCTCCATGCCTTTCTGGAAAAACAGTTGCCACCTGGCTTCAGTTTTAGCACTACACCCTTAGGCAACAACAGTGGGTACTGAGTTTTACTCCCCAAATCCGAGCAGTCTTTCTCTAGGCCTCGATCTGAGTTGATCTCAGTGTTTCCCGTCACATTTCCTATCTCTCTAGTGCCATCAGCTATGTGCTGCATTACATCCTGGATGGATGGCAGGCTGGCCTAGTGGGAACAAGAACACTCTGATGCAGCACATATAAGAATCTGGGAAAAGACAAGGGCTTTCTAGATTTAAGGACCTTTCTGAGACCATCTAAAGACATCTCCCCAAGAAAGGATTTACTTCTATCAAATTTCAGTTAAGATCGTATTCCAATTATATACTCTAGAAACTATTCTCTGAATTTCCTTTAGAAAATCATCATTTAGCCGGGCACAGTGGTTCAAGCCTGCAATCCCAGCACTTTGGGAGGTTGAGGCAAGAGGATTGCCTGAGCTTAGGGGTTCGAGACCAGCCTGGGCACCTGGTGAGACCTCATCTCTACAATAAATTAAAAAATAACCCAGGTGTGCTAGCACACGCCTGTAGTTCCAGCTACTTGGAAGGCTGAGATAGATGGATTGCCAGAGCCCAGCAGGTTGATGCTGCAGTGTCTGTGAGCATGCCACTGCACTCCAGCCTGGGTGACAGAGTGAGACTCCAACTTAAAAAAAAAATCATTTGTTGGGCATGGTGGCTCACACCTGTAATCCCATCACTTTGGGAGGCAGAGGCGAGAGGACTGCCTGAACCTACAGATTTGAGGCGAGCCAGGGCAAAATGATGAGACCTCCTCTAAACAATAAATCAAAAAATCAGTTGGGCGTGGTGACACACATCTGTCGTTCCAACCACTTGGAAGGCTGAAGTAGAAGGATCTCCTGAGCCCAGCATGTCAAAGTTTGGTGGCTGTGTGCATGCCACTGCACTCCAGTCTGGGCAATAGAATGAGACTCCAACTCCAAAAAATAAAACAAAAAATTCTAATTTTACCCATTACTTTGAAAAGGCTCAGCCGGGCTAGATGGATCAGCCTATAATCCCGCGCTTTGGGAGGCTGAGGTGAGTGGATTGCCTGAGCCCGTGGGTTCGAGACCCGCCTAGTCAACTTGGTGAGACCGCATCTCTATAATAAATCAAAAAATTAGCCGGGTGTGGTAGCGTGTGCCTGTAGTTCCAGCTACTTGGAAGGCTGAGGTGGAAGGATCGCCAGAGCCCAGCAGGTCGAGGCTGTGGTGGCCGGGAGCGGCCACTGCACTCCAATCTGGGTGACAGAGTGAGACTCCAACTCAAAAAAAAAAAGGCTCTAGAATCACCTTGGAAGGGCAGAAAATAAGGGAAGAGGGTGAATGAGAAAGATTTCTCAGGTCCTACTCCTGTAACTATAGCATCCAGAGATTAAAGGAGCCTTTGACATTTTTGCCAGAATTTTCAGTGACCTTCTGCCTCCTGCCGACTCTGAGGAAGAAGGTTGTACCTTTAACCAGAACGGGAGTCGGTGTTCTTCCCTCTCTACAAGAGGCTTCCACTGGTGGGGCTGGATCTCTTCACAGCACTTCAGTAAGACGGGCAGTTGTTTGGTCTTCTTATAAAACTGAACGGGAAGAAACAAAGCATAATTACATTCTTTCCAAAAACACTGCGCCCTATCCAGGCTGGGGTACTGAGGGAGTGGTGGTTTGAGATACAGATAGATACACACACACACACACACACACACACACGCGTACACAAACATACATGTACATATATACATAAATAGCATATGCTGAATATTTTTGCATTTCAAATTAAACTAATCTCTATTTAAGATTTAACAATTACTCAGTATCTTCTAACTGATGATCTCCACTCTGGTTGCCAGCAAAGAAAGTCTGGTAACAGACACCTCATCTCTACAATAAATTAAAAAATAAGCCAGGTGTGGTAGCGTCTGGAAGATGGTCAGAGTAATTATATATAAGACTTGCTCCTGGCTAAGCATGGTGGCACACCTGGAATCTCCATGCTTTGGGAAGCTGAGGCAGGAGGATCACTTAAGGCCAGGAGGTCAGACCAGAATGGGCAACACAGCGAGATCCCGTTTTTAAAAAAAAATTGGCCATTGTTTGCTAAGCTGTGGTCTGACCATGTGGTTCATTGAGCCACAGTTACCATGTTTTCTAGCCTTGGCCACCTCCCTTCCTTGGGGAGGTGAATCTCCTCTCTCTAATGTACTTTTAAAATAAACTATATCTTCCAGTCTAACTTCTGTGTAATTCTTCGCATCTTTCATGTGGCAATAGATTGCATACCTGACACCCACTGGGCAGGTCTGATTTAACATTCTGGAGGCCCCCCTGGGATTCTGACCTAACAAGAAAAAGAAAAACCTCCCATTTGTGTGCTTGTATGACTGTGAGAACTTTATTTTTAAAAATTTTTTTTAAATAGCCAGGTGTGTTGACACGTACCTATAGTTCTAGTGACTCAGGAGTCTAAGGCAGAAGGATCGCCTGAGCCCAGGAGGTCAAGGCTGTGGTGAGCCATGATTGTACTATTGTACCACTGTACTCCAGCCTGAACAACAGAGTGAGACTCCAACCCTTGCCCCCAACAAAAAAAGAGAGAGAGAATATTATCTGTGTGACAAACACTGTGCTACAAGCTAAACACACTGATAATAAAAGTAATTCCTGTTCTCAAGGAGCTGACAAACTAGTGGGAGAGATAGTCAAGTAGACCAATAATGACAATTTATACAAAGAAAAAAAAGAAAGTACAAAGATACACATAAAAAATGACAGAGAAATGTATTTAACTTGGACAAAAAAGACTTTTCTGGAGCAGAAGCAACAAAACATGAATCTTTTTTTCCCCCCATTCAGAGTCTCATTCTGTTGCCCAGGCAGGAGTGCAGTGGCACGCTCACGGCCACCGCAACCTGAATCTCCTGGGCTCAGGCAATCCTTCCACTTCAGCCTTCCAAGTAGATGGAACTGTGCATGTGTGTGGTGGGAGTAAGGAAGGGAGAGAGAGGTAAATCCTCAGCATAAATGGTTTAAAGTGAATAAATAAGGCCTAAACAAAAACAGCAAGTGGCAATTATAAGCATTTACCCAGATACAGAGGTAAATACACCATCACCTCAAAAATCCAAGGTTATCAGGAAAACAAAAATTTTTCATGACACTCTGTTTTGTTTTGTTTTTTTTGAGTTGGAGTCTCACTCTGTCGCCCAGACTGGAGTGCAGTGGCCACTCCCAGCCACCGCAGCCTCGACCTACTGGGCTCCGGCGATCCTTCCGCCTCAGCCTTCCGAGTAGCCGGAATTACAGGCATGCGCTACCACGCCCGGCTGATTTTTTTGATTTATTGTCAAGATGAGGTCTCGCTGCCCAGGCGGGTCTCGAACCCGCGGGCTCAGGCAATCCACTCACCTCAGCCTCCCAAAGGCGCGGGATTACAGGCTGAGCCACTGAGCCCGGCTCATGACACTCTTTGTAGAACTATTTGACTCTTTAAAGTATATACTCTGGAATCCCAGGACTTTGGGAAGCTGAGGCGAGATTATTGTCTGAGCCCATGGATTTGAGACCAGTCTGGACAACACAGTGAGACCTTGCCTCTACAATAAATCAAAAAATTAGCCGGGTGTGGTAGTACACGTCTGTAGTTCTGGCTACTTGGAAGGCTGAGGCAGAAGGATCACTGGAGCCCAGCAGGTCGATGCGGGGGTGGCTGTGAGCATGCCACTGCACTCTAGACTGGGTGATGGAGTGAGACTTCAACTAAAAAAAAAAAGTACCTACTGTATGACTTTGATATAAATATCAAGCAAAAAAGAAGACTTAAGACACAGTATGTTAGTGGAGTATAGTCTACCACTTCTAGAAAGTTAAAATGAGAATATATGGTTAGGAGGAAACATGGATTTGTAACTCTTTTTTTCTTTGAGTCAGAGTCTTTGTCACCCAGGCTAAAGTGCAGTGGCACACTCATGATCATCACAGCTTTGATCAAGGAAGAGAAAGAAAAGGCACATGTACACAGGAGAAGGGTCTAGGAGAGAGGGCAGGAGCACTCACTTTAATGATATTGTCCTGAGCTCTGCTCATGTTGAGGTTCTTAATTCTCACGGTCAACTGGCGGGCAGTCTTGCAGGTCAGGAGGTACTTGCTGATTAGAGGGTTAGGAAAATCAGTCCCTTCAAAATGCTTCAGTCCTAAAGCTAACAAACTGAGAAAGGAGCAATGACAACAAATCTCACTTCAGTCCTTTCTTTTAAAAAGCCTCCCCAGATAATTCCACACATTTAACAATCTACTTTTTCTACATCAAATTCTTGTACAAGGTGATGACTACTCAACAGAAAATTTCAGACATTTAGTGAGGGCTAATAAATACTGTGAATAAAAATCAAACAGGACTTCACAATTAAGTGGAAATAAGAAAAACTAGGCACAAATCATTAATAAATGCCAGATCACAATGAGCTTTATACTAACAAAACACAGTTCAAAAGAGAATACAAAGAAAGGAGAATGATTCTAAGAAAACAAATATAAAATGAATACTAGGTACCCTGTAAAACAAATTAAATCAGCTTGAGTACTACCCCAATATAACATATCCACTGATAGTTACGCATGTACATAATTGCTGATGGTAGTTTGACGATATATGTTAAGAGCTATAAAAGCTTATAAATTTTATCACCTATCATGCTCCTGGGAATTTACCCACAAGGATAAGCTCATAAGATTGTAAAAAGCTCTACATACAAAAATTCTTGGTGAAACCTCACCTAAAATAGCAAAATGAGCAGGAAAAAAATGGCCAATAAAAGAACTATCAGGCTACCTCCTTGGGACTCTCCCACTGTGAGAGTTTTTCTGTCCTCTCAATAAATCCTGCTTTCTCACTTAAAAAAAAAAAAAAGGACTATCATAAGACCTTTAAACATTGCTTTAAAAGATAACATAATAGTGGCCAGGTATGGTGGCTCCTGCCTATAATCCCAAATCCCAACCTTTAGGAAGCCAAGGCAGGAGTATTGCTTGAGTCCAGGGAGACCTATTCACTATAAAAAATTAAACAATTAGCTGACTGTTGTGGTACACAACTGTGGTCCCAGCTACTCTGGAAGGCTAAGGGGGAAGCACTGCTTGAGTCCAGGAGTCTGAGGCTGTGTGATGAACCAGGATCATAACACTGTACTCCAGCCTAGGTAACAAGAGTGAGATCCGGACTCAAGATAAATAAAGGAATAAAAATTTACAAAGTGGCCAGGCTCAGTGGCTCAGTCTGTAATTCCAGCACTTTGGGAGGCCGAGGCTAGTGGATTGCTTGAGCCCGCAGGTTCGCGATTTACCCGGGCAACTTGGCGAGACCTCATTTTTACAATAAATAAAAAATGAGCTGGGCGTGGTAGTACACGCCTATAGTTCTGGCTACTTGGAAGGATGAGGCGGAAGGATCGTTGGAGCACAGCAGGTCAAGGCTGCGGTGGCCGAGAGCATGCCACTGCACTCTAGTCTGGGCGACAGAGTGAAACTCCAACTCAAAAAAAAAAAAAAAAAACTTTACAAAGTAGCCAGGTGTGGTGGTGAGTGCCTAAATTTCCAGCTATCAGGAGAATTGTTTCAGCCCAGGAAGTCGAGGTCGCAGTGAATTATGATCGTACCACTGCACTCTAGACTGGGTGACAAGGACCTTGCTCAAAAACAAAAACAAAAAACCAACAAAACCCCACAAAAGACAATGTTACAGGTTACAGCACAGAAAACAATTTCAAGGCCGGACATGGTGGCTTAAACTATAATCCCAGTACTTTGGGAGCCCAAAGAGAGAGGATTGCCTGAGCCCACAGGTTCAAGACCAGTGTGGACAACATGGTGAGACCTCATCTCTACAATGAATCAAAAAATTGGCTGGGCATAGTAGCACGTGCCTATAGTTCCGGCTACTTGGAAGGCTGAGGCAGAAGGATCACCTGAGCCCAGCAGGTCAAGGTTGAGGTGGACGGGAGCGTGCCACTGCATTCCAGCCTGGGCAACAGAGTGAGACTCCAACTCAAAAAAAAAAAGAAATGCATGGAGAAAAACCACTGTGTCTTGTGGCGGTAGGATAATAGACACAAATTTTTATCCTGTGGTAATATTCCTTTAATAGTATTGTTTAAGATTGGTTTTACAATAACTAAAAAATAAAACAATGATTTAAACTTTTCAAAGATATGTGTGGCATCCCCCAAAAAGCAGTATTTGGCACCATTAGAACAAGCATATCTCGTAGAAGTCTATCTACACTGCCTTTCTTTTTGTCTGTTGTGTCCGTGTCTTACTATACATGCTTTCTGTCCCCTACGCTTCTCAACAGAACCATGTCTTCTCCTTGAGATATTCTGTTCTTTTGATCCCCCAGAGTGAACACTCACTTGTCCTCAGCCTTGGTGAAGAGGATCTTATCCTGGGGATTCTTTGCCTTCAGGGAACACAATGGAAGTAGCTCTGGATACATGAAAACCTTACTTGTGGCCAATATCCAAGCCACTTGCTTTGGCAAACAGGGAAATTCACTGGCTGTAAGAAAAAAATCTGTGATGAACCAAATTCTAGGACAAAAGGAGGCTTCACAAAAGCTTGCAAACGCATTTTTTGCATTTAGGTAGGGCTGCCCTTATCTAACTGAGTCCCTTCTACCCA